GACCGACTAAAAGTTCAGACCTCAAACCAAGCTCTGTGGTCGGATAGAGCAGTTAGAGAAATACCCGAAAACGCCTGCTTCTTTAAACTATAGGCTCAGAACAAATGCCCGCTCCATTAATGAGATTAATTCCAACAAGCATTTTTTACTTTCCCTTTTTAGTTTAGGTGTACCCGCTGCTTTGAAGAGGTCTGAATCACAACACCAAGAACCGTTACATAAAGTTTCTTTTTTTATATAACAAGATGTTCAAACTTTTCATTAAACCCTGGTCTAATGCTCTCATGGTCAGTCAGTCTCATTCATCATTTCCTGCATGTGTTTTTCTTTGTTTTGCCATCCAGGTCTTGATGTGCGGCTGCTCCTACATGGTGCTGTTCATGGGAAACCTGTTCACCACGCTGAGGGTGGTTTATCAGAAATATATGAACAATGAAGACAAGTCCAAGTCTATGTGAGCCTCCTGTAACCAGAGCAGATCACCAAGACTGGACGGAATCCATTATGGACCATTTAGTCGCTCTGCTACTTGAATGTGATTTCAGGCTGCTGTACATAAAGTTTTTCTAAACTGAATTAAATCAATTTTATTATGATATTAAGTAAAAAAAAAAAAAATCTATCCCTACTTTGCAGTTTTCTTGTCTTTCTGAAGAATTTTCAATTAATTTCAAAGATTCTGAGAGTTTGGAGAACTATGTCGCTGATAAATGCTGTCTGAATTAAATCCTATTTATTTAAAACTTGATTATTTTCTCAGGCGCTGCTGTGTGTATTTGCTTTATATGAAAGAGCTCTGCTGAATAAAACACTCCTATGAAAGTTGGTTTTAGTACGAAATCTAATTTACCAACAGGCATCACATCCCACATCAGTACAACTAAATTAAAATTAGATAAATTATTAGCAATGTGATATTGGAGGTTTTTTTTTTCATGGTATACATTTTTTTTTCATAAATCCCTTGTATATGTATTCAATATATCCAGGGACAGATTTACTATTAGGCAATACTAGGCAGTTGCCTAGGGCCCCAAGTTCCTGGGGGCCCCATAAAACTGTTTACATGTTTAGTTAATACAACTATTCCTTATTTTTGCACATTATCCTTTTGCTAAAATATTAAGTGTGTCTCAGCCCCCCCTTCAGTGTCCACCATATTGGATCAGTCCATTTGCTGCACAT